AAATATAATTTTTAATTATATAAAAATAATAAATAAAATTCAAAAATTAAAAGTTGTTGCATATTTTAATTAGCTTATACATTTTCATTCCAGTTGAGTTTACTTATTGGAAACTTGCCTGTTTTGGAAGGACACTTTTTCTGTGCTTTTACTGCTTTAGGAAAAACTCTTGTAACAAATGCAACACGCTCATCAAATGGAGTGAATTGTGCTACTCCTCACACTGATTCTCTTCCTCCAATACCTCCAGGACAACGTAAGTTATTTTTAAAGTTAAATTGTTACATTAAAATTAAATTACCATATATTCTTTTTTACTCTATAAGATTAAAAAATATATCATTTAGTAGTAATAATATTAGTCAAAAAATTTAAAAGATTGCTGATAAGATTGTATTTATTATAATCTAGATTTATATATATGTAGATTATAATAAATATATATTTCTCTATCTGTCTTTCTGTCTGTCTATTTGAGTATCAAATAGAAAGACAGATAAAGATTATTATAAAGAGAAATAGATTATTATAAAGTTAAAAATAGTCTGAATTCAAGTAAAATACTTTATTAAACTTAAATACAGCTGATGAAAACATATCAATTTATAATGATTTGTTATGTAGAGATATAGAAAATCATATTTAAAGAAAAATTAATTTAAATATAAAATAAATATTTAAATTAATTTGTTGAACATAAATTATGGACTTATTTTATTAAATTTAAAAAAAATAATTTTTATTATTATAATGATGATATTTTTATTTTATACTTTTTTATTCCATGAATTATTATAATCATAATGATTTTTTTATTAAGAAAGCAAGAGTTTTAATAAACATGCTTTTGAACTTTTTAAGTTCATTTTTAGAGTTTTCAAAAGCTATTTTTCTGATGGTAAATTCTTTTCAAAGAATTGATCTATTTGAGGAAGTGATATCTGCCAGACTACTCTTCTAAGAAAGTCTATATCTACTCATAAATTTTGTCTGTCACAGAAGCTCATAGAGGCAATGCTTTTGACTTCTGATATAAAATTTTTTACAATTTAATGACTATTTTTGCAATGATTGAAGTTATAATGAGTTTCTCATTATCTGTTATATTCATTAGTATCAGAAATTATAATGAGATAATTAAAATTAAAATTTTTTATTAGTGTTTCATTTTAAAATATGCAGAAAGGTTAGTTTTAGTGTTTCAATTGAATGAAATAGTTTTCAAAACTTACTGCAGTTTTCTAATCACTTAAATAGAATTTTGAAATATATAATATTTTCGTCAGAAAAATCTTTCAAAATCTCTCCTTATCTGTATATAAAATTCATTGATACTAGTTTTGTTTATTTTGCATTTAAGAAAGTTAGAGTTTCTTTATGATTTTGAAAGATTATTTGATGATCTTTTCAGCTTGATTT